GTGTTGCGACCAATTCGAGTTGCAACCAGAGTCACGGAACGGATTAAATTCGTAACTCGAGGTTCCACTGTATATCCATAAAGCAAATATAAAAGAGAACTCTCTAGTTAAAAACTATGAGGTCCTTTGGGTTCTCCGAGCTTGGCTGTTTTCTTGCAGACGTTTCACTACCCGGCTAGGTAACATCTTCAGTGCTAGAAGGGAGTGGGGTTTGCTCCCTGTTTATATACGGTAGCTTGCCCTGTTAGTGTTGGTGGGGGAGTTGTGTTTTCCTTGGTAGTTCCTAGATTAGGCTGTTGTTGAAAATTAGTACCCCACTCTGCTATTTTCAGCATGCAAGGGGGCTGTTTTCCGACCTAGGAAAAATATTCAAACCTTAAAGATGCAGTTGGAACACAGAAGCTGCTGCCTGTTATTTACCACCAGTCTTTCTCTGGCTATTTTCAAGCACAGAGCACAGCCTAAGTGGCTGGAGAGATTTGGGAAGCAAGAAGAGAATCAATAAAGCTGAGTACAAAGGCTACCAGAAGACTGCAATGGAAAAGAAGCAGCCAGATGAATCAGCCATTTAAATGAGGCCAACACCTTTTAATTTTTTTTTTTAATAGGTCTTCCTTTTCACCACAGCTGCCTAGTTCCCCTCCTTCTGGCAGACTAGTAAGAGGAATGAGAACTTAAGGCATCCAGAGTGCCAACCGGTTTCTCATCTATGAATCTGTGCAGTTTTATATTTTCCAAAATGTCCTTTATTTGTGCCTTAAGTCCTTTGGAGAATATTGGTGCAACCTGTAACCATCATAGCGTCTGGTAAGAAAGAGACTTAAATGTCCAGTTAATGCCCTTTCCTGCATTACCCTAGGCCAGTGTTTCTCAGCCTTGGCATCTTTACGATGTGTGGACTGCAACTCCCAGAATTCCCCAGCCAGCATGGCTGGCTGGGGAATTCTGGGAGTTCCAGTCCACACATCGGAGAGTTGCCAAGGTTGAGAAATACTGGCAGACTCTGACTAAACGCAGACTCCTGCCTCACTTCGCAGCCATTTCATACACCCCTCCTTTTCCTGCTTTATGTCCTAACTTGCTCTGCGCTCTCAAAACCACGCACACTATTTTTTCCAGCCCTGACTTGCCCTAAGATGTGACTTAGGACACTGCTGGCCAGCTGTCAGCCTTCTCCTTGACCCAAACCCGACCTAGAAGGCAGAGAAATTCAAAGATGCAGCTCTTTCATCAGCTAGTTTTATTAGATGGTAGGAAAACTGCAAATCGAGCAGAAAACAAACCAACTGCCCACGGTAAGCCTCAAGCCATTCATTCATTTGTATATATTGCATCCCTTACCACGAAGAGGCAGTCAACCCTCCCATGGTTGAAACAATAAAGGGTAATGTTTCCTTTGCGTCAACTCCCAATGACTTCAGAGACCCCTCCTGGCAGTTTCTGTAGCAGCAATATCGTAGTGGCTCACCACTGCTTTCTTCTGGAACAGGTTTTCAACTTCCAGTCTGGCCTACAGCCCTGTATCTCTAGAGGGTTTCCAACCCCAATACAAACCAGACCTAGACTTACTTAGCTTCCAAACCCAGGCAAAATTGGCCACATGCTGTCACTAAGATAGTCTACTGCAGTGCTTCTCAACCGTGGCAACTTCAAGATGTGTGGACTTCAACTCCCAGAATTCCCCAGCCAGCCTTCTGGGTTGAAGAATTCTGGGAGTTGAAGTCCACGCATCTTGAAGATGCCACGGTTGAGAAACATTGGTCTACTGATTACCTGTTGTGTACTTCACTTCATATTCCCACTGTAAGCAGTAAATTACTTTGCCAACCAGAAGCAGACAAGTCTACCAACTGCAACTCTCAAAAACGGCAAAAATCTTACAGTTCCTTAAAGATTAACGGATTTAACCGGGGAGGAGATGCTTGCGGTCTCAATCAGAGACCTGCCTGAGCTAAGAAGCCATAAGAAACTGAAACGGCTCGATTTGTCACAGCTTTCTCTCCCGGGCCCTGCTTGCGAAGAACTCCCCTTTGGGCTGGATCCACTAAGAATGGAAAATGAGAAGGGAAACCGAGAGAGAAAGAAAGACACTTATCCCAGCCTTCTTCTCAAGCACTGGCATGGAGGTGAGTGAGCAAGTCAGTGAAATGCAGGGTGCCTCCATTTCTTCTGCACCCAGCAGGAAACGAGCATGACGGGAGGAAAACCCCTTTCTCAGTGCCCAGCCCCAAAATGCAGAAGGCTGTTGAAAGAAGGATGGAGCAACTAGACTCACATCCAACAACTGTTTAAAAAAAAAAAACCTATTAGCCAGCGGTATCTTCCATGGACTTATCTGCCAGTCCTAAAAGAGGCGCCTGAATGATGCAGCAAGAAATAATTGGTCCAACTTGCAGTAGCCAAACCTCACACAGAACAGCCATCAAGGTGCTAATGTTAAAGATGGGCACAGACAAGCTATTTTTTTTTTTAAATCGGTTTATTTTCATTTCTATGGCTGCCCCCTTGCCCAAAAACCCTCCAGCGCTGGTTCTTTGTTTCCTATTTAGGGAGACTTCGAAGGTTATTTTGCCCTTCAAGGAGCCTTGCTGTGACTCCTAATCTTAAAGCTAAGACGTGGAGGAAGGGATTGGTGTTTCTTAGGTCTGCCCTCTGCTTTCAAACCGGCACAGGCAGAGGTCTCTGGGCAACGGTCCACGCAAAGCGATCTGCCTACTTTTTGCAAAATTGTCACATCATGTGCTTTTGAAGCGTGCCAGCTTAGCTTGCCAAAGGGAAGTCATACAACAACACTACCACAGTTTCTAAAGGGGCATGCGGGTGTGTGGTAGCAGATAAGGTGCAAGAGGGGCACAGAAGGGATTAAAAAATACTCCTCAAATGGTGGTAAAAGCAGAGATGATTCCTAGTCTCTCACTACCCATCCCAGTGAAACTGGGGCTAAGCAGGCCCTTTCTGCCTCCTTCTTCTTCTTGATTTGCTGATTCAAGCAAATCAAAACTCCCATCCAATTCTTTAAAACAGGTAAGAGTTTAAGAGTTGTTTGTAGGACCAGCCCTTTCGTTCAACTCAGTCAAGGCTATTTCCAGGTTAGGTCCGGGCCCAACTCTTCTTTAAATGTCTTAAGGCACTGATTAAAAGATTAACAAGAACGGAAGTGAACAGCACCAGAAACTAATCTTGCCACCCCTCAGAGTAATTCTTCCTTACTTCAAGTCATGATTCGTTGCACTGTCAGCCCTTCCAAGTAGGCCAGACTCCACAAGGAATCCTGGGGCTCTTCTTTATTGATATAGGCTATAACAACAGAATCTTGAAAGCCCGACAGCATTTTCCCTTCCCTCCCTCTTATACCAGAGAGTCAAGGTGGGGCAACCTTGAATTTCTTTCTCACGCCTTCCTGTTTTCCCAGCCTAAGTTCATGTTTTACTAATGGCTGCTGCATTATTTCCTTCAAGGCCACCTCCGTACTCCTCTACAAATGGAGTATTATCATCAGTGTTACACAAAGACTGGGAGTGGGGCAGAATCCCTTCAGGAACCAGCGATCATCAGATGGGAAATGTAGCAGAAAAGCACATGCAAGAAAGAAGAGATAAATGAGGATGGGAGGCCACAAAATGTGGAACTCTGTGAAGATTAATGGGTGGATCTACACAGCTGATGTACAGCTTTAAGGAGAAATACAACATGGCTTAAATAAGGAGAGAAATGAAGATATGGTATACTCAGAGACCAGGTTCACGCACAGCATTAAGCTGTGGTTGGCCCCTATCAGTTTAGATGTTTTATCATCTGTTCTACACTGGAATAGTGGACTTTACATATTCTACATCCTTACTGTGCTATTAACTTATTAGTCTTTTACTGTTATTTTACTTGTTTTGCTGTTTTCAAAAGCTTTTCACGTTTTAAGTAACAGTGAGATTAGAATAATTAGAATGGCTCATGGATGAAACCACAGTCCCCTGGGTTTATCCCACGTGCTTAGCCACAAATCCTGCTTCACAAGCACTGGATTCACTCACCAAAATAAATCCATTGGATCTTGAAAGTGCAATGTGTGAATGCGGCCCAAATGAATGTGCCCGCCTCCACAGTCAATAGTGCCAATGACCTTGAGAGGAGAAAGTTCAACGCAATTGCCCCCCCTACAAGCCAAAAGGAGTTTAAATCCAGTGACTTTAGATGGCAGGGAAAAAGTCAACGCCTTTTTGCTAGGGAAGATAGCAAGAGCACAAGCACCCTGCTTGCTTTCCCCACATTGCTGTTGCTGTCCTGGCATTTGCTATATTTAATTATGTTAATTATGAGGTGACAATTCACAGCAGTGCTTGCCAAAACTTCCAGTGTTGGACTGGAGATGTTAACCTGAACAGTTCTAGAAGGAGAGATATCTCAGAGCTGACTAAGAGAGTCTGCCCAGAACGGTGGAAACATTTGCCAGCCCAAATCACAAGCTTTTCTGGAGGAGAGCAGAGCAGAGAAAATGCTCAAGAGTCATTGTGGAGCAAGCAATGAGCTATACAGAGATCCGTGCTGCAGGGAAAATGATGGCTGATCGGCTAACAAGGATCTGCCTGGCCTGATGGTACAGGGTAGGCAACCTGATCTTACCAGGGGACACAGGCTGAGCTCCAACCTTACTCCTTTTCCTGAATAAGCCACAGTAGACACCCTACTGTCAACTGCTGCCCAACTACTAAGCTATAAACCATGGCCTGAAAACAGCAACGGCTGAGTTTGCACAGGGCACGAAGCCAGAACAAACCACACGCTGGCTGAATGTGACGTGCACACCAGGCCACAGAGTCTTGCAGCTGCAGGCAAGTCTTTGAGGCCAGTCCTTGCTTGAAGCTAGAAAACAAGAGCTGGAACATCCCAAAGAGGTGGGTATCCAGTTCCAGCCAGGAGCAGTGCTGCTCTCTCAACGCTCAAAAGTCGCTCTCTGTAACTTGACCCCTGGGGTGGTCAATGAGAGGCTTTCCCCAGGTCTCATAACACAAGGGTATGGTGGACAATTACGGGCTGATCATTTTTCATACAACCCGGAAATAAGCTATGGATTCGCTGCCACCCCGGGGGGCCATGAAAGTGACTGGGCAGATTCACATATTGAGGGACCGTGGTACCCACCCTTTGGAACATCATCCCTCTGCAACTAAGACTGGCTCTAGGCTTGTGGCCTTTAGGAAGAGCCTGCAAACATGGCTACGTCACCGTGACTGGGGGTCTGGTAGTAGGGGTGAGCCTTTTCAATGGCTGTACTGAATGGAATGCACTTATTTATTTATTTATTTATCAAATTTGTCACCACCCATCTCATTAAAAAACGACACTGGGTGGTTTACGAAGAAGTTAAAATCAATTAAAAATACAATGTAAAATTGTCCTGAATAAATAGAAAATAAATATAATCCAAGAATAGATGTTCAAATGGCAAGTAGCTCGGGGAGTTGTATGGTTGTATTCACCCACCGACTGTGATTATATTTTGTGTTTAACTTAGCTTTTAATGGTGCTTTTATTATGGTCGTATGTTTGAGTTTATATTTTTTATTATGTTTTGTTGCTGTTGTTTTTAATTGTTGTGAGCCGCCCAGAGTCACACATGTGAGATGGGCCGCTATACAAACCAAATAAATAAGCAAGCCCCTCAATAGCTACTCCTCCCCAGAACTACTACAGGTTGTCCTTGTTTAGTGACTGCCTCATTTAGCAACTATTCACAGTTACAACAGTGAAGAAAAAGTAACTTTATGACCAATTCTCCCATTTAAGACCTTTGTGGATCTGTAAAGCAAAGGAAAGCTGAAATAAGATCATAAGCAGAGTCACGGTTTCACTTAGTGACTGCTTTGCTTAACGACTGAGTTGCTGATCCCAACTGTGGTCGCTAAACGAGGACTACCTGCACATCCTGCCACTTGTATCCTAGGCGACAGAATATCAGTTGTTGGGAAAAATTATTAATGGAAAGATGTTGATCAACATGGAAACAGAAAGCTATAGCAGATGGGGTCTTCTTTTGGTCTGACTGAGGAAGATCCTTAGTTATATTCTCAGGCTTCTTCAACTTAGTCCAACCCTTGATGCAGCATGGAAGAAGACTTTCCCCTGTCATCTGTGATGGTCCTTCAGGTTTTTGAGAATGCCATCATATCCTGTCCCACCTTGCTTCCTCTTTTAATTTCTCTGCATAAGGCTTGTTATCCTTTCCACCTTGTTCACCTCGTTCTGAAGCTCCGATACCCAGAACCGGATCTAGCGCTGTACGTGAGGTTTGACTAACGCAGAATAAAAGTGCATCTTAACTGTTAGTCCCCATGGCTTGAAATACAGCCTTTCAAAAAGGGGGAAATTATCCATAGCAGGAATCTGTGAAAATGCACACCCAACACTCTCACTTGATCACACACAAAACACCAGCACCAGCTCATAAAAAGCTGCCCCCACCCCCACCATGGTCTAAAACAACTCACAGCACAGAAACACTTTGGGAGTCAGAGCTATGAGGAATTTCTCAGAGGACACCAAGGCCTCCTAAATCATCTTGCAATCAAAACACAGAGATTGCCTCAGCTAGTTTGCCAAAGGATCTTTATAAAGATTCCACCAAGCTGCGCGCAAACAGCCAGATCACCTTCCAGCTACCCCTTGGGACGTAAGGAGAAGCCATACAGAAGTCAGGCGTCCCAGTTCCGAACTCACCAGGCACTTAGTCCCAACCTGCTTACCCAAGCCTCCCTTTCGGTAAGGCCAGCAGCCTTGGGGACAGAACTACAATTGTCCAGGCCTAGTGTGGCAATGCAGGGGCTGAAAGAGTGAACTAGGAGACCAGGTTCAAGTCCAACTCAACCACAGAGCACCTGGGTGATTTCTGGCCAGTCCCTCTTTGCAGCCCAATCCACCTCAGAGGGTGGTTATTATGGAGATAAAAGAGGGGGGAACCCCATGTACATGGCCTTCAGCTGGCAGATTAAAAGATTAAGAACACAATAATTGCCACGATTGCCTCTGGGAGGCAGATTTGGCCTGGAAAGAGGGAATAAGAAGCAAAACAAGTTCAGAGACAGAAAGATGCTAGCACTGGACCCAAGAACCTCTGAAATGTCTGTCTGATCTGCTGAAACCTGGCCCATCCAGACTGCAAAAGGAATCAGGGTGCACCAACCACAATGGGGTAAAGATGGCTATTTGTGGCAGTGGCCGCAGATTAAAAAAAAAAACTTCTTCCAAATGCCAACAATTGGGGGGGGGAATCTCATCGCTAGTGCATCATCTGCAACTGATGCCAGCTTTGTTCACACTAAGTACAAGTGCTATTTTCCTTTATACTTCTGTTTCACAAGGAATCTGTACGTGCAATCGCTGCTAGTGATGGAAGCAAAGAAGGTGACTGCAAGAAAGATTCGAAGGAAGGGAAATGATGCCAAAATGGCCTTGCGGAGGTCTGACCCCACCTCTTCCTCAGGCTGCTGCCACCCAGAGAATGAACTGATTCCTGAATGGAGAAACCTGACATCCCCATTCCAGCTACAAGGGCCTTGGGACCCCCAGTTTGGAAAAGAAATGGCAGCCATCTCTCTGCCCATCTCAACTTTTACCGAAATGGAATGCAGCTGCCAAGGAACTGGCAAATTTTAAGCAGTACCAGAAGCTTTGAGGCATCTCTGCCCAGAACTATATTTCCTGGCCCCAAGGCCCACGACGGTTCCAAGCCATCCTTGGATCAAGCCACACCTCAACCTGTCTATCACACAAGATGCTACCCACAGCTTTGAAGAGAAGAGAGAAAAAGAGCTCTGAGGCTCAGGCACAGGGAGCCTGGCAGACGGACTAGCCCTCGAGGCCCCATCGACACATGTGACAGAGGGCACAACTTCCAGTCTGCTCCCACTACCATCCGTGAGCCTGGAGCGCCTGACCTCCAGGACTGGCAACTGCCCTGGCCCAACTCACCAAGCTCTGTGGGCTTCAACAGTTCATCCAAGATAGTGTAGAAGGGAAGTTTCACCAACCGGACCTCAGGCTTCACTGGTTTCACAGGCAACCGTCCCAGTCCGTTTAAATACTTTCCATAGAGGGAGGGATAGTCTATGTTGGTAGTCGAGAGGGCAGTCCTGGCTACCGTGCTGTTGCGGTCATAGGAAGGATGGATGGAAAGAGCTTCAGAAGGAGGTCGGTGCTGTGGTGGTGGCGGCTGCTGTGGTGGCTGTCCTGGGTCAGAGATCTTGGCATAACGAGTCTCGTAGATCTCTTTTATCTTCTTGAACAGTTCTGGGCTACAGTCAAACTGGACCAGCTGCAAGGCCCGAGTTACCAGTTCGTGTTTTAGACCACTCTTGCTCCGGCCAACAAATCCTAACAACATCTGCAGGTCTGAGACCCGGAAGCTCATCACCATGTTCTGCAAAGAAGATGGGAGGACAGACAGACAGACAAACCTTGATGTCAACAGAGTCAATCAGAGTTGGATCAATCTAGCCCAAGTCTCTATGGCCATCAGCAAATTCCCCCCGCCACAAAATTTTGGTTATGTATTATCTACTCACTGAAGTAAGCCTTTGGCACCCACCTCATCTTCGGAGTTTCTTCTTAATAATTATGAAGTTTATTCTGTGTAACAGAAATACATACCACCAGAAGATGTTTGCTGGAAAAGCGAAGGAGCCTAGAATTCAGGACTGATCAAGCTATTTTTTAGTTTGGTGTTTCAGCGAGAGATTCCCTTGATTGTCTCTCCTTAGCAATAAAAATACAGAAATACATAAAACAACTATTTTAGGAAGGACACTGACAAACTGGAGTGTGTCCAGAGAAGAGCAACCAAGATATCAGGGGCTGGAAAGGAAAACACAAGAAAGAACAATTTAAGGGACTGAGCATGCATGGGGAAGAGAAGATTGCAAGGGGGCAGACTCCAATAGCTGTCTTCAAGTATCTGAAGGGCTGTGAGGCATAAGATGCAGTCAGAATTGTTCAGGATTGTGCCAGAAGACCAGGGGTTTAAATCTCAAGAAAAGACATTCTGGACAGACATCAGAAAAATGTCCTAACTGGAAGAGCCCTTCACCAAAGGAAGAGACAGCCTTGGGAGATGGACTCTTTTCCCTGGAGATGTTTAAATAGAGGCTGGAGATGCTCTAGGAATGGATTCTCACACTGGATTAGAGTAGACAATTTTTAAGGTCCTCTCCAACTGTTATATTCCACAATTAAAAATTGCTGGACTTTCATGACAACCAAATTTAGTTGACTAATACAACTGCCTCATTAGGGTCACCTCTGAAAGAAACTGGGTTATATAGTTATACTGAAATTACAATACATTTGTAAAGGCTGCTTGGTAGAATCATTGTCCATCTACAGTTCTCCAAGACACCCCATCAGGAAACCACAGTGGGAAGCCACCAATAAAAAAAGAAAAAATTAAATCAGATAATTTCTCATTCCAAATGAAACATCCAATAAATAATCACGATATAAATTGTCCAATGGAATGAAAGATCACTGGGTTTTTTTATTATTATTATTATTATTGTTGATCTTCTGTCAGCTATGCAAGAGAACAAAGTATGTGTTCCATTTCTAAAGCATTCTAGATCAAGTCCATCTTCATGTGTTATGGCTTCCAGCCAACATTGGGACTGTCAAGTATTCGAGAAGTGAATACCCAGCAAATGTCAATCTTTATAAAACAATGATCACCCAGTGCTCACACGGGTAATGTTTTGATGCTTACATGCCACCAGTCTGCAACTCCTTAAAGAAATCATGTTTTTTTTTCCTGGGATGGCACAACTCCCTTCCAGCTACCGCAAAACATGCATTGGGTTTAAGAAGTTGCAGCCAGGTGCCATGTTTATGCCCCTGAACACTCTGAAACATCTTTCTGCCATTGAATCCAAACCACTACACAGCTCTAATATTTAATTCATGAGCAAGGCAATTGCCATTTTCCATCTTGAATCTACTCTCCTCACTTTCACAAGTTTCTGGTTCACAGGGAACATTCTCTTTGCTTCCTCCAGATCTTATGTGATTTTAGAAATTTAAGAGGGGCTCCACTAGATCAGAAAACCTGGAAACATTGATTCCAGCAACGTCTTTCTTAAAGACTAGGTAACCCACTGGATACCTCGTCAGAGTGCTCCTCAGAAGGGACTCAGGAAAAGCAGAGAAATCCTGCTTTGGGATGAGAGAAGATTCAAGAAGGATGAGAGGTCACCTTCTCCAGGAAGGCTATAATCTTCTAATTTTGCCCCTGCATTCAGCAGCCATGAAATCTGCGCTCTAGCCTTCGGCAGCTCTCTGTCCCCTTGACGCTATGAATTTTGATCAGAAGATTTAGCCTTCTTTATAGACAGCTGGAACAGGACACTGTAATTGCACAAGCTTAGCCCCAAACATAAATTTGGCCATCATCTTAACATAGAGAGGTGACAGCATGGAAGTGGATGGGTATGTAGAAGTGATGAGAGAAAAAAAGACAGAGTTGCAGAGTGGGAAGAGTGCTGATCATTGTTGGCCAAAGTCAAAACTTGGCTGTACCATCGTACCAGTTTCCTGGGCAACTATAGCTTTTAAAAACAGCCCTGGAAGCCAACATCACTCTGGCTCGTTTCCCCGTCCTGCTATTCAAAAAATCTCCAATAGCAGCTGAAGCTTTCGCTAAATAAATAAATAAGGTTTTGCTGGATCACAGAAAAGGATTCTGCTCCAGAATTCAGTGTTCTGCAGCGACCAACCCCAAATAAGGCATGATGGCAAAAGCCTCATTTTGGGTTGCTCATCACTATCTGGGATTCAACAGAACTCTGCCTCTGAATATGAGGTTCCACTAACCCACTGCTCCTGCCTCCACCCTCTCTTTAGAACATCTTGAGTGTGGCAGGCCTTCCTTACCAGCAGAGATCCCAAGAAGAGGGAAATATTTGGAGCCAGCTTCAAAACAGATAAAACCTTTCCTTTCCACTCTCAAAACTCAATGCATCTTTCCAACAACCATTCTGCTCTGCTTTGCCTTTCCAGTCAAAAGCAACAACTGGAGCATCCAGTTTGGAGGAATGTAGAAAACTGCTTTACTGCAGGTCAGATTATTTACCTACTTTTAGTGGAAAGTCCAAAGAGAGACCTTCTCCAGTCCTGCCTCACTGATTTTTACACGTAACAATATATTTTTTTTTCTATTTATGGCCCAAAGATTCTTACATACAGAAATGGCAGAGATCAAACCTGGACCTTTTTAGACGTGCAGCAGGTGCTGTATTCAAAACCTCTGGTCCTACTTCCTTATTTATTTAATTTGCTTAAACGATCCATGGAGCTGCCCATCTCACAGCAGTGCCTCTGGTACAAAGATTAAAACCACCATAACCCATGACCCTCTGGTTAAAGCAACAAGCACCAAAACAACATCCGCATCATTAGCAGATCTTGCCCAATCTCCTGGCCCAAACTCCTGGTTTCCAAGTCTTGCGAAAGGCTAACAGGATCCAGGCCATCCAGATCTCCTGGGTATGCTGTTCCGCAGGGCAGGTGCAGTCACAGAGAAGGCATGACTCGGGTCCAACAAGATGGCTTTGTTTGATGGAAGGGACCTGGAGTATGCCCTCCCTGCTAGACCTGGTGGGGTGGGCAGAAACAACGGGAGACAAGCAAATAGTCTGGCCCTAGGCCATGAACTGAAGGTGATGACCAGCAGCTTGAATTGCACATGGAAACTCAATGGGAGACCAGGCAGCTCATGAAGAAGTGGTGTTACACGAGCATAACAAGAGTGCCAAAAACTGCCCGTGCCACTGCCTTCTGGACCAGCTGCAGTTTCCAAGTGCTCTTCGAGGGCAGCGCCACGTAGAGGGTGTTACAGCTATCCAAATGGGAGACAACTAAGGCATGAGTCACCGGGAGCAAGGCCTCCCAGTCCAGGAATGGCCACAATCGGTGCAGAAGACAAACCCATGTAAAGGCCCCCTGGCCAACGTCCTCACCTGCTGTTCAAGCAGGATTCGTGGGGAAGTCCGCCCCCGGGCAGAGGTAAAGATGGAAAATCTCCAGAGCTGGAGGGGGGCAGGGGCTTAAAACCCACAGCCACTCGGTCTTGCCAGGGCTGAGCCCAAGCCTGGTTATAGATAAAAAATTAATCAGGAACACAGAAAGCAGCCTTGTTAGGAGTCAATCTATCTAATTCAAGAGTCCATGTTCTGACTTGCCGCAACCGCGCAGCTTCTGACAAGGCTCTTTCCTGGCTCTACCTAGAAATGCCTGGGATTAAAGATGGGAGTTCTAAATGCCCAGAAAGCCACTAATGCTTTTGCATTACAGCTACTTCAGATCTTTTGTTGTTGTTGTTGTTGAAGACTTTCTCAAGAACGGCAAGGGGGATATCCTTCCCCATCCCTGCCAAATGAGCCTCTATGGCCATATTTCTGAAGCAGGGGACAGCAAGTAAAGCAAAAACTGAATTCACCACCTATCCCTAGACCTCCATTTTCCTTTATCTCTGGCCATTCAACCCGGTTTGTGGCCCAGCAAATCTGATGCAGTCTGCCAACCATGTGCCTGGTCCTCAGCAGCCCCTTATTTTGCAGTCTGCATTTGGCAGAGCCCCCGGGGGCTGCCATCCACGGCTGGTGAGAGCAGGGTTTGACTTGCTGAGTCACAATCTGAGTATGTTTGCCATAAACCCAGTGCCGGAACTGGAAAAAGCCCAGACCCGTGATCATCCAGGAACCAAAAAGTCCAGCATCACCACCAGCAGCCCCTAAAATAGTAGGTGAGAAGACCGTCAACCCTTTCTGTCTCACTCTGTGCAGGCTACAGAATCTAAACAGTTGGTGCTAATTTCTAAAAACGTGAAGTTGCTAACTCAAAACTCAAAGCACACTATGCAAGTGAGAGAAATGTACTGTATTCGGGGAGAACACTCAGACAGACAACATAATCTGGAAAGCCACACTTACTCTTCATCTAGAATAAGAGTTAAGCCTAGGAGAGCACAGGAGCTGGATTTCCAATTCAGACTTCATTTCTGTCACTAACATGCCTGGCAAACCACCACGCTCTCTCAACATGAATCGGGAAGGGAAAGAAGGGGATGAATCCTTCTAAATAGAAATAAAAATATATTAGGGTACTTTTCCTTCACAAATCCCTTCAAATCTGTGCTACTAGGATACAGTCTATCATGCAAGAACCACGAAAACAATGCTCCTGCTACGCCTTAAGAACTGCAGATGTACAACTCTTTATCCTTAGTAAATATACGTATGCATGACTAGATAGAGGGAGAAATTTGTTGAGAACAAAACAACCAGCGACATTACAATACAGAATTTAATCATAAGCAAGACCAGTGCAATGATTGCTGGTGACAGGAGCAGCTTCCTACCTTTGCTGAGTTAATCTTTCTTTTGTAATGGGATGGAAAACTTTAGTTTCCACTGAAGAAAGGTATTTATAACAAGTCTCTCTCTCTTTTTTTTTTTCTAACTTCACAAGAGTATTAGAACACAGAGGCATTACAGGAAGGAGTATGAATCTCTACAGAATCTGCAGATGAAGAAGGTTAATTGGCATGCCTTTTTTGGATGGAGACTTCAACCCTCTGTGGGACCTGAGGGGTATCAGGTGGGAATTCAGCTGCCATATCCTCGTATAGCTCTGTCTGAAGGAGGGAATCACTGGGAGACCAGCCAAGGGAGTCCAGATTATGACTCCTGACTCTTAGAAACGCTTCCGGGTTCCTGTGGCCATGGCTTTAAACATTCCCTTTCTAAACATTTCCTTGAAATCACAAGAGCCAGAAAGCAGCTTCACTCTTTCAACGTGGAGAATCGAAACAGTGGCTTCCTTCATGGAATGAAAAAAGATTAGCTGCATAATATGATGTGAAGCTTTTTATGTTCTGAAAAGAGGAAAGCACAGGCATCAATACTAAGGATTTTTTTTTTTCAAACAGACACTGATGTTATTAAATAGCTTCCTTGAAAACCTTGCTTGGATAAGAGAGTCACTGAATTGTCCCATAACTTCAATGTCTATGAAGTGACTAATTTAAGAAAGAGGCAGCAGTTTCACACAAAGAGCACAAAAGACAAAGAGGTGAGGAAAACAGGGCCTGAACCACTGAAGCAGCAGCTAGAAAACTGCATCCCAAAGAAACAGTTTCACTAGCTGGTGCACAACAGTGCTTTATACAGAAACAGGGAGAGGAAAACTGACCATGGTGAAAAGCATTCTGCTGTTTTTCTCTTGGGAAGAGTATAAGTACACATACTGACAGTTTCGCACACCTAGGTACATTTCCCTAGGAGTATGTCTTATGGAATGCAATGTTACTTACTTCTGAGTAGCATGTATCAGTCTCCCAGTTAACCCAGGACCTTCCCTGTTATTCTCCACCTCACATTAATCTACCTCTTCTCTTCTTTGATTCATTGTCACCAGCCCATAAAAAAGAGACTTACTGAGAAGAGAGAAAGTGAGTGGGAGTGATTAGAAGACAGAACCTGCTCTAA